CTCCCAGGGAGTGGGGGCATCGCTCCCTGGGCAACGCTGGTGGGTTGCAGATCACCGAGAGCACCGCGCGGTGCTAAGTGGCCCCAGCTCCTCCAGCACAGTGGACCTACTGGCAGCACGAGAGGCTCCAACGTTGGTCCTGGCAGGAGGCAGATCATTGCCCTGGTTCCGTTCGAGGATGCCGGCAGCGTAGGAGAAGTTTTGGTGATGCAGTTGATGGGGGTGTTCCGTGGATGCCCCACAACTTAAGCCCGGGGATGATGGCGGCACAAGGGGAGGCTTGGCAATGCAGCTGATGGGTGGGGCATTTGGCAGAGAAAGAGAGAGGGAGAAGGGAAAGAGAAAAAGAGAGAGAAAGAGAGAGGAAAGAGAGAGAGAGAAAGAGCAAGTGCCTCTCTCTCCCTCTCTCTCTCTCTTCTCTCTCTCTCTCTCACACACACACATACACACGCGCGCACACACACACACACACACACACACACTGAGTGGAGGAAGAGGACGGGCAGACCAAGAGAAAGGGAGAGGGAGAAGGGAAAGAGAAAAAGAGAGAGAGAAAGAGAGAGGAAAGAGAGAGAGAGGAAGCGCAAGTGTCTCTCTCTCTCCCCTCTCTCTCTCACACACACACACATACACACACACACATGTGCGCACAGACACACGCACACACACACACACACACACACACACACTGAGTGGGGGAAGAGGACTGGCAGACCAAGGGCAGAAAGAAGGAGAGGGAGGGAGGGAGAGAGAGAGAGAGACCCTTTTGACATCTAAAATGAAGATAACACTGAATATGTGTGTGTGTGTGTGTGTGTGTGTGTGTGTGTGTGTGTGTGTGTGTGTGTTCTGAGGTTTTCGCGGGTGTTTGTATGTAGGTCTTTGGTTGTTCGGGTTTTCTCCCATGTAAAATTGGAAGTGTCTTGGCAATGTTTCAACTAAGTCCCATTCGTCATCTTCAGGCTGGTGTTTTCAGCTTCGTGCTAACATGCAGATAGCCCAGGTTCGAATCTCAGAAGAGTAAGTTTGGCTGATGAGGGTTAAAAGAACCCGAAATAGCTATACCATTCTCTCTTTATTCTTTGTTAGCAAAACCTAAAACCTAAAAAATGTAAAATGATGTCGCAGTTAGTGACTGCTGCTTGTGGATGGCTATAGATTGAGCTGATACAGGCAAAAGAAAAGAAAAGAAAGAAGATTTCTTTCTCCCATATCTGGGCTGACAGGGTGTTCATTCAAGGTAAAAATCTCCTCCCCCTGTCTCTCTCCGGGTAGCTAACAAAGTGGGAGAGAACCCGTGGCTTAGAGGTTATAACATCTGCCTAACATGCAGATAGCCCAGGTTCGAATCTCAGAAGAGTAAGTTTGGCTGATGAGGGTTAAAAGAACCCGAAATAGCTATACCATTCTCTCTTTATTCTTTGTTAGCAAAGAATAAAGAGAGAATAAAGATAAAAAAGGATATATGCAGTGTTATCTTCATTTTAGATGTCAACAAGGTTTTGCGGCTCCCAGTGTTTTGTTTTCGGTGGGAAACGGGTCCAAGTGGCTCTTTGAGTGTTTTGAGTTGCTTACCCTTGCTCTACCCATACAGTGGCATGCCATTGGCCAGAATAGGCAGTGATGGAGGGGGGAGCGCTTCTTTCGAAACATTGCATGCTGTTTTGTGTGTCTCTTTGTATTGTACTTTTTTAGCGTGCACTCCAGTTCGATACTATATTTTCTTTGTGTCTTTTTAATCCTTTTTACAGTGTGCGTGACTATATACACTTTCCTTGAATCTTAGTTTAGTTTCAGAGTTTTCGTCTTGAAATTCTTAGTTCCTGCATTGTGGTTTGTTCTTATGCTCTTTTTATATTTCTTTTTGCATCTTAAATTTCACTTGTAATTCAATCATTAAATGTTACTGTTTTTCTTTTCAGGCATTTCACTTTCTTGCAATTGAATTTTGTTTTCAGTGGTCATTACATTTAAGTGTCTTGAATAAATAAGATAATAATGAAATACATGTATCACAAAGTTTGGGAATAAAATGATGGGTGGCACCAAAATTTTTCACACAGTTGAGATATGGGGAAAAGACTGGAAATAAATTATTTGCATCATATGTCCTGATGACAATTTTAAAGAAAACAAAAAAAGTGTTTGTATAAATTGAAGAATTATTTCCTATGTTGTGATTGAGAGGTTATGTTGGAGGAGGGGGGCAATGACAACTTCCTCATTGGCTCAAGGGGGCGATTCGTTCAAAAAGGTTAAGAACCATTTCTAGATTATGGAAATAATATTATATAACTTTAGAGCAGGGGTGGGCAATCAATTTTCCCAAGGGCAGACATGAGTAACTGGAATTGTTGTGGAGGGCCAGCACCATGGCCCCACACCCCCACCATGGCTCCACCCCATTGCAGTTCCGCCCCTGCTGCAATCCCATCCAACTCACACCCCTACCAACACCAACATCCCGCTCCTACCAACACTGCTCAGCCACCAATGCTCTACCCCCACCACTGACACTTGATGCCTTGAGCTGGACAGAGACATCCTAAAGGTTGGATGTGGCCCACAGGATGTACAATGCACAGGTCTATTTTAGAGAGAGAGGTTAAAATATAATTGCACTTATAATTATTGTGAAAAATATCAAAACCACTGCTCTGTACCTTTTTTTCTTTCTTTCAGTTTTAACTTTTTTCTTTGCTTTATTTTTTATTTCTTTTTCTCTTTTCTTTATTACTTTGTATTAATTTGAATAAGTTTTTATCTTATTTTTTAAAAAAGTTTCAGTAAAATTAATATAAAAAATCAGTACTGTGTATATAATTCAGAAACGCACTGATGATAATTGGTACAACAGAGAGATCACATGTTTGAAGAATCTTGCATCATTAATATTCAGAGAGTCATATTTTGCATTAGTTTAAATTTGCTTAACTAGCTTTGGAATTACTCCAGGTAGAGTTCATTACTGCTTAAATCTAGCCTGGATATCACCAAAACATAGGTACTTTTTAAACACCAACAGTGTTATCATATACTCACTTTGTCATTTTTAGTGGATTTGGTATTTGCAACTGTTTCTGTCTATTTGTATTTATTACTTTAATTTGTCTTGCAAACTGCCTTGAGGTATATATTATGAAAGACAGAATATAAATGTCTTCAATAAATAAATAAATCTTGAGTTTGAATTTTCTTGAGAGCACAAGCACATTTCCTTTTTTTTTTTTTACTTCATTGGGAAAATGACAGCTAGACTTAAACTAATGTGCCACCTGGAATATCAGTGTCAAGAAGTTTAGAGTCTTAATTTGTGAGGGTGATGCTTAAATAGATTTAAGATTTTTAACATAACAAGAACTTTATATGTTAGCCTATCAAATGATGAGCATAATCCAGTGGTGGGATTCAGCCAGTTCGCACCAGTTCGGCAGAACCAGTACTAATTTTTTGTTGCCCAGGCCCAGAATGGACTTCCGGAAGAGGCATCCACACAGAACCAGCTCTTCATATATTTGAATCCCACCACTGAATCCCATCCTATAAAGTTGTCAATAATAACTGCTACTATGTTGGGCTGACACTTCTACCAGTTTAGGATTGCTGCCAAGATATCATATTTAGGATTCTGGGCTTCTTGTTTAACTCTTTGAGCATTGTTACAGCTTAAATTCTAATATTTCTGCTGCAAAATACTGAAATAAAAATTTTGATAGTTATACTACCGTGTTTTCCTGAAAAAAAAAGACCGGGTCTTTTTTTTTTTTAACCTCTAAAAGAGGCACCAGATCTTATTTTCGGGGGGTGACTTTTATAGTCACCTCAGCCCTGCCCAGCTGGCCCACTTCTTCTGCGACCGAAGGAACAGCTTCATTCTGCAGCTGCATTCCAGCCTGTATTTTGCAGTCAGGCCTTTCCAGAAGGCCTCTGCAGCCAAGTAATGAGCTATGGATTCAATCCATAGCTCAGTTTTCAGCTGCATAGGTCTTGCAGAACTGAGCTATGGATTCAATCCATAGCTCAGTTTTCAGCTGCATAGGTCTTGCAGAACCGAGCTATGGATTGAATCCATAGCCTGATTCTCGACTGCAGTGGCCTTCTGGAAAGGCCTGTGACTGAGAAATGCAGGCCTGGCTACACAAGACACCACAGAATCAGTGGGCCAGTAGGAAAAGCCTGGCTGCAAGGTAAGTGGTCCAGGGCGCATGGGGCAGCTCCACACCCCCACCCTAGCTTGATTTTTAGGCATGTGCCTTGCCCAAAAACTAGCTTATTTTTGCAGTAGGGCTTATATTAGGCATACCCCCAAAAATCAAGCTAGGCTTATTTTCAGGGTAGGCCTTACTTTTGGGGAAACACAGTAATACAGGTCATAGAATATGGCAAAATTTAAATGAACTTGGAAAATCAATTTACTAAATATAGGTATTGGGAGGGGATGTAAATGAACCAAGTTCTAATTTATATTTTGGATTTCATGAAGGCATTCAGTTTGAATTTGCAATTCAGTCTGAAGAGTTTATCTGAACAATCAAGTCAAATCAAAGATTTGATCTGATAAGAGTATGTATGCATATCCACAAAATCCATCAAATAGTTGAATCAATTCAGAGGCACCTGATCTAATTTAAAAAGGTAATTTGATTGAATCACATTCAAATACAAGAATCAGAATGAAGAATCACACATGCCTTAATATATGTGTCAAGGTATATATTTTGGATTGGCATTCAAAAAAAATTTCCATCCCAAATTAGCATTATGATCTAATGTTCTTGTTGTTCTTCTTCTACAAGATTTAATTGAAACTGTATACTTTTCTAATGTATTTGTTAGAACCAGTTGCATACTGTCCTTCAGCCAAATGGTTCCCAGGGTGATTTGAAAGCAAGTTAAAGCAACAAAGAGTTCAGTAGAAAATCAAACACATGAGAAATATATAGAAATCATAGAGTTGGCTTGTAGTGATACATAATATAGAGTTTTGTTTACATCAGTACCTTGAGCTCTCCAATAGAAGACAAAAGGCCTGCTCCATAAGCCCTCAGTTGTCCATCTTGCTTACAAAGGCCAAACTCAATAGTGAAGAAATAACACTGTAAAATGAAATACATAGAGACACACACACACATATTAGAATGAACCTAGATACACTCAGAAATCAAACAGGTCACCAGACAAGCCCTTCCTCATACTATTTTTTGTTTTTAAATAAATGATGTAAAAGAAAATTACCAAACGGTAATACCATGAATACAAGAGGCTATCAGAAATCTATTTAGCATAAATCATGATAAAAATTAGGACTGTGCAGTGCTTCAGATTCAATGCCAAAAGGCTGTTGCAGGATGTGCACAGTGTCTTCCATTTTTTAAAGCACTTGCATTTTTATTTTGAATCATGAATTATGTGCAGCCAACACATAATCCCTGCAAAAGTCACAGTTAGTCTAAAGTGTTGCAAGCAGGTGGTGTGTTTTCATCCTGTGCTATCCAAAGTAGGTTTGGGGAGACTTCCGGTCCTGCGCAATAGCGCAGCAGTTGAGAGGTTCTGGGCTCTGTGCCCTTCAGCTGAATTTCTTCCTGTTAGGGGACCCTAAATGGGCCAGAAGCTACCCCAAAGAGGCAACAAAGAAGGAAGGAAGTCCTAGGGACCACAGAGAGACAGTGGTCAACCCAATTGGTCCAGGAGAAGCTTTCCAGAAACCAACAGGAGAAAGGCTAGCCTAACTTCAGCTACAAGCAACTGAAGTCAAAAGCACTATTTTAAGCTGATTGTAAACAGTGCGTTTGAATCTGGGTAAGAACATCGATTTTCACTATCCTACTTATCAACTTTCCTGAAGAAAAAAAATACCAAGAAACAAAAAACTCCAAAAATGAAGGAGGGGGATCTCTGCCCCACTCTTTTACTGACGGAAACAGCAAATTAAACCTTTTATGGAGGACCAGAACATATTGAAATGAAATGACTATAGAACCTAAGTTTGGATAAGTTTGAAATTGCTGAATGGTTAAGATTCTCATTTTAAAGGCAATTTGTTCATTTTGAAAATTTGAAAAATAAACTGGTGCTCACATCTAGTGGTGGATGAAGACTATGGCTTTCATACAGGACTTGGCAAAATCTGAAAAAAAACCTATTTTTTTATTTGTGACCTTCAAAGCTCTAACAATAGAGAACAGCTGTGACAAAAAAGAAAACAATCTGGGCTGCAGACAAAGAGAGACTTATAAACTTTAGGGAACAAAAAAAAAACTTTTTTGAACTTTCTGGATTACAAGTATCTACTTAATTCTGACTCTAAAGCTATTTGCAGAGAAAAGAAAACTTGGATTCTTGGTCATCATGGAAAATCAGAGACTTATAGAAATAACTTATCAAGAAAAAATAAATACCTTTCAACGGAAACATATGATATGTTGCAACTAATTCAAACAACAATGATTTCAAACCACAAAGAAATCCAAAATAACTTTGAAAATATAAACCAATTCAGCTCCAATTTAATTTTACAACAAAAAAATCCCAGAAAACAACAATAGAGAAGTAACAGATAAAACAGATAACTGAATACAAATTTGAGGATAGAGACTTAAAGATAGGATCTAACAAAACAAAGAGGTATGATTTAACCCAAGTGGAAAAAAATGTACAAGAAATACTGGATTTGGAAAAGGCAACTTATACTTTAACACCACAAAACAAATTTGAGGATAAGAAAAAAGATTGGACAAAATGGACTGCAGAGATGTCAGGAAAAAACACTAGAACTGAAGAGACAAAAAATGATAAGAGAAACAGAGAGAAAAAGAAAGAAAAATATTTTCAGCAAACATGAATGGGCAAATGCCTCTTACAAAGAGATTGTACTTGACTTACCTTTTATAACTACAGTAACACTTACAAGAATATGGAAAGATTCTTTGATTCAGCAGAATATATTGATTAAAAAAGATATTGAGCAAAAGAAAAAGGCTAAAGTGAAAATTAAGAAAATACATGATGGGACCTATCAGAGAATATTTAAAAAAGAAACACCTGTTTGAATATGATTAAAGAAATAGAAAGATTTTGGATATGAATTTTATTTTAAGAGGGAAGAGCCCCTCAAGTAACATAGTACTTTCTTTTTCTTCTTTTTTCTTATTTTATTTCTTGACATGAGTAATATAAAAGAGTTGGAATGGCTTATATAAAGGAAATGTTTTAGATATTTAAAAGTGATTGATTTTAAGAAAATTACAATGGATTAAAAATGTTTTGAATAAGAGTTAAAAGACTAAAGGACTAGATTTATTAAATGGAATATTTAAAGATTAAATATATATTTTAATTATGGTAAAAAGAACAGAAAAAGTTTGGAAATAAATATGTATTAACTTATAGGAAACATGGATTTTAAGTGGCATACTATTCTTTTATTTTTCTTTATTCTTATTCTTTTTTCTTTTTTTAGTCTTATTTATTCTTAAGAAAGGTAAAAGTATTGCGATGGCTTACATGAGAAAAAATAGACTTAAATGTTTTAATGTAATTAACTTTGAGAAAATCTGAACCAGTAAAAATGTTTTGACCATTATGAGAAAAACAAATGCAAACAAGAACTGTAAACAGGATCTATGATGAGGCAACCAGAATGACTAGATAGAAAAGAAATATTATATTGATGTGCTTATTATCTGTAGAAATATTAGAAAATTTTTTATACTTAATCATTATTTACCAAAACAACAAGAATTGTATTAACTTAAGGTTGGTAAAAGAGAACATTATGGGAAAAAGAGGAAATCAAGTAAAGTTATTTTGTGGATTATAGATTATAGAAATCAACTGTTAGTGAATGTTTTTTAAATGTATACCCAGACAACACACTGTTTACCAAATATTAAGGTGACTATGTTAAAAAATCAATAAAACATTTTTTAAAAAAAATAGCTTTGGGGAATTATATCTGAAGAATTGCACAACCCTAATAAAAATCACCATTATTTATGTACAGATTTATTGTGAAATAAATAAATGCAAGAACACATCTGCAAACCTGGTATCCAGGTTTGCAAATGCTGGGTGTGTTTTAATAGCATATTCAAAAATATTGTCTTAAGGAGAGCCCTGGAAAAAATCCACAAACACAATGTGAACTTATTAAAGGGTGAAACTGTATATAATAGTTATGTAATAATTCTTCAAAATCCATAAAGAAGAATATTTGTAGCTCAGGGTTGAAATGAGATGTTATCTGAGCTTGGCTGTTTTCTTGCAAACTAGATAAAATTCTCAGTGCTAATAAGGAGTGGGGTTTGCTCTTAATTTATATTATAGAGGCTTATCCATTAGTGGTGTTAGTGGGGGTGGTCTTAGAGGTTCTTTGGTTGGGCTGTTTACTATTGGCTTGTTTGACAGTTTTTTGATTTGTTACTTGATTGTTGATCTGATGTTAATCTTGGAGTTAATCTATGCTCATCTGGGTGCTGATTGATTGTGGAGAAGTGCTTAGGTCTTTTTATTCCCTTTTTGGCTTGTTGATTGTCTCTTTTGCACAGTATGTAGATGTTATTTATGTCTATGTATCTGTTGATGGCCAATTTGTGAGAATGCCAGGTTTCTAGAAATTCCCTAGCATTTTTTGATTTGGTTTGGTCTAGGATGGTCAGTTTTCCAATTGAATCTATGGTTAAATCTGCCCTCATGTTGTGAAATTAAAGTTTTGATCATGTCTTCTGACTGCTAGTTGGTGTTCATGGATGCGTTCTGCCAATTTTCTGCCTGTTTGTCCTACATCGTGGCTTTTGCAGTCATTAAACTGTATGTTTTAGATGACTCCTGTTTTTTCTTCTAGGGCTGCTGGGTTTTTTGGTGTGCTTAGGATGTTTTGAAGAGCTTTAGTTGATGTGTGCTATGCTGATTGCATGTGGTTGTGGTAGTCTGTTAACAGTTTATTTTTTTATCATGAAATAACCCCTTAAACCAGCTTCACAATACAATAAAGCCCTCTAGTTTTTTTCAAGCAAAGCAAATCAGCTATACTGTTTTTCTTTGTCTATTCTTACTGCCTCTTTTGACACTTTCAATAGCCAGAAGCAGAAGCCTCTTTCAACATGTCCAACCATCTTCTTTATGTGCAGAAATCTCTTTTGAATATTGGAAGTATTATTTGTTTATAAGATTTTTATATAAGCCAATCACATATACTCCAATTTACACCAGCAAAATATTATTAAAACCTAAGGGCTTAGGCAATGTACAGGACTTTGTTAAGGAAAATCCATTGCCATTTTATTTTGGTCAATAAAATTACATTGCTTCATAGTATGAAGCACTTCATTGAGACAAGGCCGCTCTAGTCCAGTAGGTTGTGGATTTCCATGGATCATGGCCTTTAACTCCAGTAGATTGTGAATGCCCTTTTTTACCAAGATACATGCCTTTATTTATTTAAATATAATCATCCAATAGCTTATTTATGTGCTTTGTTATGGATTTAATTGTGAAATTTTAACAGCTTTTAGTCTGCATGGTTTATAAACACAGACAAATAAATATAAGCAAAAAATTTAACAAGGACAGCTTCCAAAGAGGATATACTGACTGAATATATATTGTATCATCCATTTCAGTTCTCTGTTTTTAATACAACAGATACCAAAATCTTTTTCTCTGAAGGTTGGACTTTCTAGAAGAGTGCATCTGGGGACACAATCAGTCAGGCTACTGCATGTCTATTTATTTATTTGATTTAAAATAGGATTTTTAAGGACATGTATGCTTCCAAGATTGTGGAATGGAAAGCAGAGAGAAGGGAAAAGGAAGGGAGGTAAGGAATAAAATCATGGGGGTCGCCAAACAACGCAGTCCGCCATTTTTTCCCCTTTTCCTTAGCAGGATGGAAGCAGACATAAAATATATATGAAAATACCTGAGTGGCTTTCAATAATGGAAGCATTTGCTTACCCAAACCTGATTAACTATGATAAACTGGTTAGTTATAAAGATCTTTTGGACAAAGAGGGAAAACTTAAGGACAGGCAAACTCTTCAACAACAAGGTATTGACTTAACATGCTGGTCCTACTTGCAAATTCAAACAAGATACG